GTCAATAAGTTTGGTATCAAACTGTAGATTATAATTGAAATTTAGAACTATATATTACTCAATTTGTTAGCTTAAAAGTAAATATAAAAAATCCCCAGATAAACATCGATTTTTGTGTGTCATGTAGTATGTTGAATGCAGCACTGGTTCAAATTAGATGTTTGTGAAGTCAAAATACAGGTTATAGTTTCATATGAATTCGAAACTCAAATTACAGATATTGACATGCTAGAATATAAAATAAGAAGATCTTATCTTCTCTATTTGCTAAGATATTGCCAACGTAATAAATCAAACACAGTGGCAACGCGCTCACCTCTTTCCATTTTTGGAAATGATCCCTTATATATACTTACTTCTATATATGACATAAATAACAAATCGGAAGCTCAGAATGTCCTCTAGTGGTTTTCTCAGCCTTTCTAATGTGCCTAGTGCCATTTCTTTCGTTTGAATCAAGATTTTTTTTGGACCAAAATACAACTCAGTTACCAAGCTTGATAAATTACAGAAGAATTTTATGGTATTGATGTAGTAATTTATGATTTTTTAGTTATTGAAAAGTATATAAAACCTAAAAAAATATTTTGTTTCAAATCCTCCACGTGCAAAATTTTTAAAGGCTTAGCAACCAACGTCAAGCAGCAACCAAGTACAAAGGTCGTAACTAGAAGAAATAATTGTTTGCCTTCCTTCTTTATTTACCGTTCTATGTTTTAGGGAAAATAACTTTAAGAACTTATTTCAAAATAGCAATAATCTATATACTTATATAATATATAATAATTGAAATGTAACTGTATTTTACAAAATACTAGTCAACTAAAACACAGCCAAGATAAAAAAAAACCAAAGGTCACCTTTATGTTATTTGATACGGTAACATAAGTGCATGTGAGCCACGTTGTTGTAACTTCTGTATTAGCCAGGCACGGGTGAAAGGTCAATATTATAAAAATAATAAATATATATAAATGTAAAATGTTATGAGATTTAAACTATTTCATCTAAACATTTATGTTTTTGTGTTATTATCTGTGTTCATTTTAGAATGAAAGAGGCATAATTTATGTTTATTTCCAAATTTTTTATGGTGGTTGTGAGATTGGTCAAATTTACCGAACCCACACAGAGACCAATTACTGAAAATAACAGATAAAATATAAAGTTTTTTTCTTAACAAATGTTTGACAACTATCCAGACATTATAAAGATTACGCATGTGAAATTTCAAAATTTTCTGATCCATAAAAGTCTTTTTAATCTTAAAATGAAAATTACTTTGCATGAGAGACAGTCAAGATGTGAAAAGAAAAATAAAGGCATGAGAGAAATATTGCTTTACAAACCTTAAGTCTTAATAAAAAAATGAGATATTTTGTGTATGTAATCTTTACTGATAAACTGACAAATTTTATTAACATTTGCTTATTAATTTAAAAGTTATAGCATGAAAACTATAACAAGCACAAAATGGTTACAAGGTCAGTCCTAGAGACCGAGCCCGGGTTGAAAGAGTTAACTGAGCCGTGACTGCTACAACCAGGGGTCAAACAAAAACAATTTATTAGATATAACAACAGAAACAAGAAAAACTTTTAAACGACTAGAATACAATTTTATCACAAAAAATATTAGTAAAACTATGCCTAGCCAGGATTAGATAGAAACATTAATAAACAATACAACATACATCTCATTATGATTAATTTCAATAAATGTCAAAGTAATTAGGAAAAAGAACCAGAAAAGTAACAAACCTAATTCATTAAAGAATAACACGTTTCAAAATTAAACCACTTCTTAATATTCACAACAATGTCTACCAATAATTAGCAATAATTCGTTCTAACTATATCTCCTGAACCATCTTGTTTTTAAGAACAAGGAAGGCTTTTTATTTAGTGGTTAGACCATGAGATTATATCTCATGTGACAAGCTATTACCATAAATCTACATAATCTTTCACAACATTAATATTTGTACATCATTGCTCGGGAAAGCTTGTGTCAGTTTCATAATACATGCATACTCAAAAACAGTGTGCTCTAGCTGGATAGAAGATGAATTAGTACTTTAATATTACTAAAAATTCATAGTTGAACTAAACAATAGGAGGAATAACAATTGAACAGTAAACAAAATCCTAACAAAATAAAAGTATAATTCACTATCTCATAGTATGATTCACAATTTCTAATGAAATAATAATAAGGAATACAAGAAGAAACATATCAGTCAAGTATGGTTTTAGTTGCTTTTACTAAATGTAAAATGCCTCACATCACAGTTCTTGTACTTCACACAAACAGCATTTCAGATATATTTGTTACTGCCATAAGTGTAGCTCTCAGTTGATGTAATCTGTTATAGAAAAAAAAAGCTTTATGGGCAATGATTTATGGCAATGAGTTTTTTTTCCCCTCACAATCCTCTAAATAAAATCTATCTTTTGTTCATGACAAGTCATTCCCATGGTCCTATCCAGTCAGTAATTGGTATTGAATGAAAGTTTTCCTTAACTCTGATATAAAAAAAAGGTTTAAAATGACAGTACAAAAGTTTCTCAATATTGTGTCACATTTTCATCGTCAAAATGACTGATTAACCATATGTGTAAGGGCTTGGGCAAAGCTACACGAGGGCTATCTGCGCTAGCCGTTCCTAATTTAGCAGTGTAAGACTAGAGGGAAGGCAGCTAGTCATCACCACCCACCGCCAACACTTGGGCTACTCTTTTACCAACGAATAGTGGGATTGACCGTCACATTATAACGCCCCCACGGCTGAAAGGGCGAGCATGTTTGGTGTGAGGGGGATTCGAACCCGTGACCCACAGATTGCGAGTTGAGCGCCCTAACCACCTGGCCATGCCGGGCCCTGGTCATTTTGACCAGCTTTGTAACCATGAAGCTATGTATACTATAACTATGAACTTTACAAATTTTAGCAGGCATTTAGTAAATTCAAAAGTCTGTTGTACACAATAAATTGCCCCCAGTGGTACAGCGGTATGTCTGCGGACTTACAATGCTAGAAAGTGGGTTTCGATACTCGTGGTGGGCAGAGAACAGATAGCCCATTGTGTAGCTTTGTGCATAAATTCAAACAAACAAACACAATAAATCAGATTTTTAATAAAGATATGTCTGTGAATTTACGAAGCCTAACTGAGTCAGTCTGAGTGAAAAGTCATTTTCATGCTAAGAATAAAAATGCTTCCTTTCATTTGTAGTTTTCATATCTAATTTGCATAACATTTAGAACCTCCTAAATAAATATAAAAGTTTTTTACTGTAAAAATGTTTACTTTTTTCTCCACCCTAACACTAACTGTAATGAATGTACAGTGAAATGAGAAATTGAAAAATATGAAATAAAATCAATAATACTTTTTCTTTCTAGAATGACTGCAGATTGTAACAGACATTTACAATTATTTAACCAAACAGCTTGAGCTTTCTAACCTTTTGCTATCAGCCTTCCTATTTAGTTTTATTGCTATATTACTATACTTTGAACCCAATATATCACTCAGCAGGAGAGCAAAGAACTTAGGGTAAACAAGGTATCAGGTTACATCATACAACTCAAACTGTATACATTGGGTGCATTCACTGAGAAGTGATCATGAGGAATGTTATCTAATTTTTTTTTCCATTTAAATTTTCTTACCTAGACTGATAGATTTTTAATTTTTACATTTTAGTTAATTTTGATGAATATATATAATATTAAATAAAAAAAATATATAAAAACAAGAAATCTACCATGTGCCTTAGCTATAAGCCTATTTGTGCTTGAGAACATATTTCAAAAAGACTACTTTTTTTCATGCTATATTGGTTCTACAAAATAAATCATACTGCTTTTAAGTATGCTTAGAACACAAAAAGTATATCAGGCACTAGAACAGAATGTCTCAAAACTACTATGACTTAATGACTTTCTAGCTAAGCTATAAATAGGTTAAAAAATTCCATTAACTTCTCAGAGCATTGACTTCGTTCAACACATAACAATATTCGCTTGTAAACTGTTACCTCTCTTGTTAACTTATAAACAAAGAAAAGTAAGGCGGCAATATAATGAATTCCCCACTTTCTACTGGTTATAAGCATGCCCAATAACAATGCTAGACAGAGAGAGAGGAGGGCATGTCATGTCAGTGTTACAAATTTAGTGATATGTCAGTGAAGCATGAAGATTGGGTGTTGACATTTTATATTCTGGTTTGTCCATACATAAAGTATGAATCTGTAATTAGTTAGACACTCTGAAAGCTATACAAGGTAAGAAAAAATGTATAAAATGGGCAATTTATAACACAGTCGTGTCACATACCACAGGGAAGTAGAGACTGTTTGTTTGTTTGTTTTGAATTTTGTGCAAAGCTATACGAGGGCTATCTGCACTAGCAGTCTCTAATTTAGTAGTGTAAGACTAGAGGGAAAGCAGCTAGTCATCACCACCCACCGCGAACTCTTGGGCTACTCTTTTATCAATGAATAATGGGATTGACCATCACATTATAATGCCCCCATGGCTGAAAGAGCAAGCATGTTTGATGTGACTGGGATTTGAATGGGGAGTTGAGCGCCCTAGCCACCTGGCCATGCCGGGCCAGTAGAGACTGAGTATTTATTTAATTATATCTTTTTGAAATTAAAAATTGAAACTTAAAGATAATATAAAAATTTGAATTATGAACTACATTTTGATGCCAAGCTTACTAATATATATTGATAATAAAATAGTTTAATTTCTGAATGTAACTGTAAAAAGGATGTAATGTACACTTTAACCTTCACATATTTGCAGCATTAAAGAAATTTCAGTACTTACAGTCAAAAAAAGTAAATCCCAAGTTTAAATTAATGCACATAGCCACCACCCATAAAATTTTTATCAAACGAAAGAAGAAATGAATATACCATCTTATGCAAATATTAATTGGCTCAGAATTCACAGCACAATTTTCTTCAACAAAAATATAGTAAAAATAGCATTATATTTAAATGTTAGTAAACCTTCTTGCAAACCACACACAAATTTAGTGTTAAAACAAAATATATGTTGCAGAAAAAAAAAGGCAGTTTACTCTGAAGCAAATATCATAGGGTATATAGTCATTGTTAGATTTGTAGGGATTAACTATTTCACTAGGTATCCCAAGTATACTTTGGCCAAATGGTGCTGTAAATAAATGTTATACAATGTTAAATTAGGTTGATTGTACCCAAAAGTTTTTCACTCGAATAAAGTTGATGCGAGACCAAAATTCCATTTTATATCAATTTCATCCATAAATGACCGAATAAGCAGGTATTTTTGTAGGCAGCTTCTGATAAAAAAAAGGCATACTAATGTGAAGAGAATCTGAAGAGAATGTAGGTTTTTCTGTCCCAACTGTTATGTACTACTTGTGTCACACCTTGTTTCCAAATCTAACATACTACAACAAACATCAAGTTGAATATGTTATAGACTTTACATAATTTTCTGATAGGTTGACCTTTTCCTTATTTTTTTTTTAGATAGTTGTGTAATTGTTTTCTTCAAATATAAGGTATTTCATGAAAATAAATCTATATACATTATTTTCTTTGCATTTGTCTTATATTTAATGGGATATCTCAGGTTTATTATACATTTTTTTCATATAATAAAATTCATAACAAACTATTACAAAACACTTTGGGTTTGTTTTGCCTATATGCATACTGTAAATAAACCTATATACATTATTTTCTTTACATTTTTCTTATATTTAACGAGATATCTCGGGTTTATTACACATTTTTTTCATATAATAAAATTCATAACAAACTATTACAAAATACTTTGGGTTTGCTTTGCCTATATGCATACTTTAAAAAAAATGAAATAAAAAATACAATGTTTTTTGGAACATACTTAAGAAAAAAAAGGTAAGGGGTTAAAGTTTAAACTAAAATTAATTTTGCCTCAGTGATTAGAAAAATAAGAATGACAGTTACTGCACTATTTGGTCATGATAGAAATATATTAGGAATACTTTCTGTAAATCTATTTAATCCTGACAAGTATTTAATTTTTATTATGCATTGTATGTTTCATTTCACCTACACACACGACTCTGAATTTGTATCTGGTCTTAAACCAATATTAAGACATACCTTGTTCTTTAATAAGCCTTCTGGACCAATAACATTTTGAAAAATATGTTTTCCAACATGAGAATCAACAGCACTGAGGGGATCATCAAGAATGTAAATGTCAGAGTTGTGATACACGGACCTGGCTAGACTAATTCGCTGTTTCTGTCCACCACTCAGGTTGATACCCTGTATCCAAAGGTAAGAATATACAAATATTAATGTTTATTCAACAATAAAACTTTTGAGAAAATGTAATCAGACTCACTTGGTATACATAATGATTTTCCCCTTAAGCAGTTTTGCAGCTAACACTAATAATACAACAATTACAGTACAAATAAAAAAAGCTAAAAATATGAATTACTAAACATTTTAAAGTAATCTTTTTATAGTAATAAATTATATATATTAATTTTAACTTAAATTTTATGAGATATAACAATCTTTTTTTAACAAATAAAACCACCCAACAACATATTTCAACAATATAAAAGTAAATGTCATTTCAAGTAATATACCATTCTATATCGGTATTCACTGTGGTGTTAATGTACTTAAGTTGTGTTATTGTTTTTTTAAATAACTGAATTCAAGTTTGTTTGTTGAATTTCATGTAATATAACACAAGGGCTATCTCTGCTAGATGTCCCTAATTTAGAAATGATAGACTAGAGGGAAGACAGCTAATCAACATCACCCACTGCCAACTCTTGGGCTTCTCTCTTACCAACAAAAGGTGAGATTGATTCTTATATAATAGTGCCTCCATGGTTGAAAGGGTGAGCATGTTCATGAAAATATATTGTAAGATAAATTTCAATAAACCCTAAGTAGACTTAACTGTCAAAGTTCTGTTGATTTCACCAACTTTCAAGGTAAGGAACTATCTTGACAAAATTTATCTTTCTTTTTAAGGCCTTGAAATGGGTCTACAAAAATTACAAGGGTTTTTAAGGTGCATAAGAACCCTGAAGTGGTGTGTATTGTTCTCCTGCAGTAAGATATTATTACTGATATTTGTTTAAAACAAGTACCAATATAACATTCATTAATTACATAATATACTATTAATCTTTGTTTAAAACTAGCACCAATACCACAATCATACATTACATATTATTTTAAACATAAATTATTACTAGAATTATCCTTGTTTTCAAAAAATTATAATTCTTGACTATTTTAAACTTTCTTGAGTGTTTCAGATTTTTCTTATCTTTCTTTATTATTTCTTGATTCTCAAATGACTGCGAACTATAATTTATTTTGTTTTTAATACAGAGATGATCTTAGCCTGGTATTTAAATATTAGTGAAAAAGCAGTTAATCTTTTAGCATAATGAGACAATTTTAAAATTCCCCACATAAAAATCCCAATAACTCAATAGCTTTTAATTCAATATTAAGTTTAGAAACCCAAAGTAAACAGCCTTAATACCTTTTCGCCAACTTCTGTCAAGTCCCTGTTTGGAAGAATGTCCAGATCTGTCTCCAGTGCACATGAACTAATCACTTGCTGATAATGTGTCTCATTCATTCCTTTCCCAAATAAAATATTTTGTTGGATTGTGGCATTCTGTATCCAAGCTTGTTGGGAGACGTATGATATTGTACCCTGAAGTTTTTAAAATGAAATATTAATATTATTTTCTTATATTACAGACGTAATCACTGATACAAATAATGTTTTATTATGCTACAACTAAAACTGTCACTATAATTTTGAAACAGAGGAGTAAAACTTTAGAGAAATCTGAGTACTAAAACCTCTTATTTTCCATTACTTTCTGTACGTAACACCTAACTTCTTAATAAGAAAAACTAAGTATTAAGATGCTGAAAATTTCAGATGATTTGTACTTTACTTTTTATTTCTAAGTACATGTAAGAATAAACATGTATATTTTTAATAATAGTTAGAAAAACAATGATTTATGAACATAAGGAAGAATATTAATGACAGTGGAACATATTACACGTTTCGACAGAACATTGGTCTGTTTTCTTTAGGTATAATCAGTATTAAGCAATACAAGGTTTATATATCATTACAAAGACAAAAGACACAGGGATTAAATGCGAAAGTCTTCTTGTGGGAGCAAAATTGTACAGCATACATCACAGATAGAGCTTGTATCAAGCTTCAAAACAGTAAAAAATATTATGTTAACTCTACCTTTTCACCTATCAAAAACATAAAACATAGCAAATTTGTTTCATTCGCATTTGTACCAGAAATTGCTTATGAAATTACTAGCCTATTTGATAACTTGAACATTGATGTACAACTGTATTCAAACCTTCACATAAGATCAACATCTTACTACCTAACCTGAAAGAATCCCTACTAAAGGAACAAAAACAAGGCATATATAGTGTCCCATTTGAATGTGGAAAGAAATACATAGGACAAATGTCCCGTTCTTTATAAATAAAACACAAGGAATACTAAGGTCATGTGAGTAGAAGTGAATTTCAGATATCTGGCTTAATGTCTCATCAATATGAAACAGGTCACAAAATATACTTTGGGATGAAATTCTTCTTCTACACCAACCCAAAATTAAAAAAGAAAGAGACTGTTTAGAAACTATAGAAATCATCAAAACAAATGATCTCTAACTAAATCGTGATAATGGCTCTAGCAACAACAACCACATTTGGTAAGGTCTATTCACCGTTCTTACACTTGACCAGACTTGACCTTTAACTATATCCCATATTTGTGGGGAAACTACTAGACAGAACTATTACGAAATAATGAAAAGTTCAAAAAAATTAGGAACAAATCATAGTTCTGGGAATTTTTACAATGTTCCTTTAGACATTCTTTTCATTCCTGAAAATATTTTTGACTTAAGCCACGTTTGTTTGAAAGCTTTGGAAATGACCTTCCATGATAAGACATCAGGTAAGCTTAGTTAGGTTTAGTGAGAATGGTAGGTAGCAGAAACTACTATGATGCCTCGAATCTTTAATTATCGAATATTGTTAAGTTTATCATATTCAAACAATGCACAGAAATAAAAGAATATATTATTTACTGAAAATAAATTATATTTATTACATATAAATTGATATTTATGAAAAATACTGTTAGCTATTTGTGTTTTAATTCATATGTTTAAAATCCAGTGGAAACAGTTTTAATGAAAACAAAACAAAAAAGTATTTAGAAAGAAAATCATGTGATCATTTTAAAACATTAGAAAATTGTCTGTATAAAAGCCTATGAGGCTCAATAAATAATAAAAAAAAAAATTATTTTCAAAGCATATAGTTTTACCTTCACATTCACTCGACCTTCTAATTTCTCCATGTCTCCTAGAATAGCAGATATTAGAGAGGATTTTCCTGAGCCAACTTGACCAACAACAGCAACTAAAGCTCCATGTGGAATACTCACAGAAATGTTTTTTAAAACTGGTTGTTCCTCCCGTAACCATGTAAAGGTCCCATGTTCAACAACAACAGGATTAACTGAAACAAAACCAAAGAACTGTTAAAAGGAACTTCAACATCACAAATATAAATCCAAAAGACTGCACAATACTTTCTTATATTCATCTGAATGTTAAGTACTTAATATAATCATTACATTAACAATATCTTTCCATTACAGAAGCTTTAATCTGAAAAGAAGCAGTGTCAATATTGACCAAGCATCTTCCCATTTTATCACCTACAAAAAACATCTGCAGTTGAATGCTTCATAGTCATAACACTATTAAAAATTCTAAAACTCAATCTTCACATGAGGATGCACAACAAATTAAAAAAAAATCATACAGACCTATGAGTCCAATCTTGTCATTATATTAAGGGTTACTACTGTATTCAAAGTGAATGACCAGTAAAAATCTCTACACAACACAAGAATACCAATATTAGACATATTATACTATATATAAAAATAGGAGGAGAGTTAAATTAATTAGAAAATGTTTACCTTCTTCCCAGTCATGAGTGACATAAGGATCCAATTCTTCACTGCTGAAGTATTTGTTCATTCTTTTAAATGAAACTGATGCCTAAGTATTAACAAATACGACAAAAATATTAAATGGTGGCTTAACATAAATGCTCTTAACATAATGAAAAATAATATGATGATGTACTTATACAAGTTATATTTATAATAAAATTACAAACAACTTCATATTAAATATAAATTAACTATCTGAATATAAAAGTAGCAACACTTTAATGAAATTGATGTTATATAATAACCCAACTAAAACTACTAAAAAAGAAAACAAAAAAACCTATGATGATTAAAGTGTATTAAATCACTAGTTGAATGCCCACACTATTAATACGCTATTTTGGGGTTGTAGTCATCATAATTTCTAATCATTTTTATTATTTACATAATTTGTATTTTATATATGCACATTCTAAAATACACTGTGTATTTATCCATCTTTACCAGTTCTAGGGAAACATCTGAACAGTATTTTTTGATGAAAATATATTTTATATTCAACATATTTCTTAAGTACAAAATAACAAACCCAAAACAAACCAAGTATGACTAAAACAAATAATTTTAACTTAGTTTACGAATTAATAAGATAGTACTAGTGAAAATGAAAACATAGTTTACTGTCAATGCAGATGGCCTGATTTTGAATAACCATTTACTGTATATAAAACTTCATTATTAATAAAACTTCCTAATACCATTTACAATATTACTAACAAAACTTACAATGCCATTTTAAAAGGTTAGACTCTTATTGTAGTATCACTAGACTTTCAAGTTCACATACTGTCTGTACTACAATTAAGAGAATAACAGGGCTTACAAGATCAAATAACAGTGAAATTCTAATACATGTTTTCCTTTGTCTTCATCTTCTAAAATAGTCCTATTGTAGTTAAAAACACTTCCTGAAAATCTTTAAATACAATACTTAAAAATAAGGAAAAAAACGTGCAAAAAATACGATGCATACTTAAAGAAAACTAAAAGGAAGTAAACAAGGTTAATATTGTTGAATTTGGAAAAAATTCATGAGAATGAACAAAACAGAATTATAAGAAGTCCAAGCTAAAATACAATTTTGTACTGCTTAACCAATTTTTTTTTTACAAAAACTAATGCAATTCAATCCATATATATCATATTTATTTGATTTTAAATCTACCATGACTTTTCATTTGAATTTACTCGCATATTCTAAATCGAACTAATGATTGTCCAGTGTTCATACACTGTGCAAATCATATACTTGATATGAGCAGTGTACAATATAAACAGAAACTAATATCTAGGACTTCTAAATACTGATGAGGAAACTGAATCACTTATCTACTAGACCAGATGCAGTGAACCACTTACAACCCAAAGGAAAGGAAGGAGAGGGAGATTGCTGCTCCATCCTTCAGTCAATAGGTAAAGCACTGAAATAAAGTTCTACCTTTCCAGAAGCTAGAAACACTAAAACAGCCATCTTACATGTAATGAAGACTTATGTACAGGTTGTGAGATTGAATCGAGAACCCCAGTACTAGGCAGTACAACTTCAAAACCAAAAACAGTGTGTACCTAAACAATTGCCCATCTAATTATGTCAAAAGAATTGTCAAAACAATCTACAAGAGCTCTGGAAAAAACAAAAACAAAAAAACAACAAAAAAAAAATCGGATAGGTAAGAATCCATTTTCTTCTTCTAGCACCCACCCAAAAAAAGCTATAATTTCACTGGCTTACATAATCAAAGAAACATGGATAAAAACTGAACAAGTTGACTTAGGCACAACACTAGTGAAATGATTTGTTGAACTTGGTATTTTCTTATGCCCATCTGGTAGTGTTAATGTATACCAATACTAAGTGTGATATGAAGAACTACAATGAAAAAAATATCTTATTGAGAGGAAATAAGATGGGGTTTGAAGAAAGAGAGTAGAACAGCATTTCAACTACAATTTCTGTATGTAAGTAATTCATATCTTGCCAATATGGGTTACTTACATGATAAACTGAATTTAATGTAAATCAGAATTCTGAGAGATCTACAAATGAAACAAGTAACAAATACTGTTGAAATTTAATGTCTCTTATTCTGAGAGTGGAAACAAAAAAATTAATTTGCATTTTGCTCATTTTGGAGTATTTTTCTGTACAAAAAAACATCTTGATATAATACTAAAGCTTTCCAAAAAAATTCAGAGCTAATTTACACCAGAAACATATAGAGGAAAGATTAAACAAAATGAGCATAATATGCTTTAGGTTATGCCCTGCATGTATAGTTTATAATAGTTTGTGATGAAGAATTATGGGATGGATATGAATTCAAAAAATATCCACCCCATAGAACTGTCTATAGAATTTTTGGTAGTAAAATAAGCATTTGCTTTAATTGTTCACAAAAAGAATGAAGCTAGATTTACATTACTTGTCTACGTGCATTGTTTATAGATTACATTTTCTAGAATTAACAAATGTTGAACTATAAGCAAAAACAAACAAACACAACCCAATTGTAGTTGAAGATGTGAAAGAAAGATAGAAAGATATAGCACCAGACCCTGGGAGATCAGAAGGTTATGGCTTCACCAGTGTCACTTTCAAGGCTATGGATAACAAATTGGAATTCCTGATTACTCAATTTTGACACATAATATCAAAAAATAATTACATAATGTAAACCTTTATGATATATATATATATTTTAATTTCTTCTGTGTTCCATAATAGACAACTGCAATATAATAGTACCATCACCGTACCATACATTTTTTTAATGTTTGTAAAAATTAATAGCAAATATTTCAATACAGAAATGCATTACTTGAAGGTTATTAGTCACATTAATCAGTAAGAAAATAGACATGCAATTATTTTTCAAAGAATGTTGAACTTTGTAATATTTTAGAAAATTATTACTTTTGGCATAAATATTAAATTAAAACTTTGATATTTCAGAATTTTGAAGCACAGAACAGCACCATAGGTTCTCATTTAATTCTATTTGTATTGCTTGGTGTAGAAAAATAAAATATACATGAAAAGTAAATTGAAAAAAAATAGCAAGTCGAACAAAATTCTTGATACCTTACCTGGATAATCATAGAAATAAGCATAGGTAGCATAGTAAGTGGAAAACGCACAATGTTAAACAGGGACAGGGAAACAAATGCACGATCAGCATTCAAAACATTTTCTTCAGATGCCAGGACATAAGCAGTAAACGATGCCATAGTTACCTGTAATGGAACAATGAAGTCATTAATGATTATATTACACGCAATAACTAATTCCAGAATAAAACTCTGTAAAAATAAAAGAGTTACATCTTTAGAATTCTGAGTCCTTATATACTTTATACTGTTTAAATACAAGCTAACTTTTAAAATTGAACTGTGGAAACACCACACCTGTAAGACACAAAATATTTACCATTCATCAGCAAAAAACAAACTGTTAAAGTAAATTCGTTTAAGATACTACTAAAACTAGATGTACTTCCACAGGGTTCCCAACAGTGTTTTGTTACAAGAGTAACTAAAACAGAAATTAAGAGTAACAAATATTCTTATTTCTTGCTTTGGAATTTCATGTCATACTGTGTTGTAGCCTACAGAGTGCATAATGCTTCTTGTGATTTGTGACATGCTCAAGTCATTTTAGTACCTACTGACTGACAGACAACATACTACTGTATAGTGGTGTAAGTGGTTAGAACAGGTGATCCCTCCAGGTGGCTTTTGGCCCCTTTTTGGGGAAAATGCCATTTTTACAAAAACAATCTAAATTAATTTTCACAAGTATATAAAAGCTTGTTTACTGCATATTTTAACAAAATACAAAACCAGAAATAGAACTACAAAATTGTGAATGAAAATTACACAAAGCAACAGTACTCTCCAAACAATTTTTCAACAGCAGCGTCACACTGTGCCAACAAATCACATATATTATCACACACTGATAATACACACAATTCTTTCCAGTTGCAGGTGCCAAAATGATACCATTATCATCAAGGCCACAAAAGTTTGTAACATTATCATCAGATATTGTATGATACTGAAGAGAGTAATTAATGAAAACAAATGCTTTGGAGGAATCCAAAATATTTTCATCATTCATAAAAATGTAGACAGTGAAACCTACTAGTGCTACCAACCAAGAGGTTTGATGATGACGACAAAAAAAAAAAAAAAAAAATTACTGTAAGTAGAGTACAAAAGTTCAAACACCACAAACTCCAGACATTTCTTTCTAAGTTTCACTAAAATTATATTTCAGTTTCTCAAAACATTTTACTTGAGTTTTGAATACTAAGGTTTTTTTTAGAAAGTCTATTAGTGTTAGGTATAATATAAAAATTTTATTACAAATATGATACTTTGATCATCAATATGGGTTCATTATTTCTTTTGGGGCATATTGTGCTACTATATTAAGAATAAAATACACAAAAATTTTCATTTATTGGCACAATGAAAGGTAAAATATTTATTATTACTTATAGCCAACTAGTTACAGTAACACAATTACCAGCATCATGGCTAATATCTATAGTAATAGCTTAGAATATATTCAGCTACAAACCGTTAATGGATAAGTTCATTTTCAAAAACAAGGTCAGAAAACAAGGGATGGAAAGTAAATTGTAAATGAGGGAACACTTAAGTTAAATAAGTATTGCAATGGGACATGTTTATTGGTCCGTCATCTCTATTTATACACAGACATCTATTTTTAATCATACAAATATTCTCTATTAAGTTCCTTTCATTGTTTGTTTGTGCATTTCTTAAGATCTTTACATTTTTCCAGTCAAAATTACCATCACAGTTCCAGAAATGTTCAGCTACAGTAGATGACATAGTGTTGTCATGTTTTATGTCGTACTGGTGTTCTTTCAATCTCGTTTTTAATTTCCTTCTTGTTTGTACTATGTACATTTTACCACAACTGCAACTGATTTGGTAAATTTCATCTTTATCATCAGTCTTTTTTGGATCTTTGAGTGTTTTTACATGGTTGACAGTTTGGTTTCATGGGATAAATGCTACTTTATAACCTTTTAATCGGAAACCTTTGGCAATTTTTTCTGAAATCCCAGGAAAAAATGTTATACTGTTGAACTTGTTTTGAGATGTTCATAATGAAGTTAATTCAGAGTGTTTCATTTGAAGATGTTTGTCATTAATTTTTTTGGAAAGATCTGTCAATAATTACAGGGGGTCCTCATTATACGTTGGAGTTAGGGACCGGAAAGTTGCAACTTCTAACAAAATGATGTATAACAGGGAATTTTCCCCCATAAGAATAATAGGAAATGGGGTGGATAGGAAACGTAAGAGCGTAAACATTGACTATGCGACACAAAGCGGAGCAATTTCTCCTATAAGAAACAATGAATTGAATAGGGACCATACCTTAAGAAAATGTTGTGTTTTGTACCTAGCAACAAAAATACGTACTGCACATGAACAGTATCTGTACTATAATATACAACACATAAAGTACACATATTTATAACCAATTCTGGGTTCAAGGACCTTTAAACAATATTTATATTTACTGAACACTTCATTGAAAACCATTTTTATGAGCATTTTGAAGCAGCCCTGTATATTTTAAAACATTTTCCTTTTTTAATAGAAAACATATTTGTGAGATTTTTAAGCAATGACTCAAACAGATAACCATTTTAGTGTAAAAAATCACAGACTATTAAACAGCATTTTAAAAAAGATTTTACCATAACCGTTAATTTTTATGTTCTTATCTTGGGGAACGTATGCGTTGTGCTTGATTGAAGAAGGTGTTGGAAGAGAATTAGGCAGAGGATGAGAATGAAGATGCAGCTGTAAGGTCATCAACATTACTGACATCCGCCGTCTTTATCTCTATAGAAGACATAGGCTCAAGACTTTCCTTCACTTGAGTTGGAAGGGCCCGCTTTGGGTTCCTTGAGTGTTTTTTTCAAATAAAACAATCAAGGGTTGTCTGCTTTCCTACTTGCAGTTTTGCGTTTAAAATTTCACAGTAGCATGCTAAAGAATCTCTAAAGTCTGTGTCACCTTTGCAGATCAATCCAAAAGGGTGTCATGTTTTTGAGTAATATATCGATTGCAGCTTCGATATGCTCAAACATATCTTTTAGCACCTGGACTGTGAAGCCTCTCTGCTGAGGAGAAACCTCATCATTATCATTCATAGTTTTTCTTCAAAAGTATGTTTATCTAATTCAGCAAGATCTTCATTGCTTAGAAGATACCATGCAACTCCAACATCATTTTCCCCTACTTCTTTTGCTAGTTGCACTATTTCACCATGTATATGTGATATGTCATCGAATCCTTCAAAGGAATGCACTGCATCAAGATATACTTTCTTCCACACATTATTTATTAAGTGGTTCGAAACTTCATCCCAGGAAGAACAAATCAACAAAGTAAGAGTAAAAAATCTCAAACTTCTTCCGGAATTCCTGGACCATTAGTTTCACCGAGAAGTTTTTGGAATGCCTTTCTCAAATAATTGGCTGCATATGTGATGTTTTCCTCGGTGGCATGAATACAACTTTTATGTTCGGACACAACTGTTCAAAAATCCAAGTTGTGGGAACTAGCATTGTCTAACACGTGAAGAATCTTGAAAGTAACATTATCTTCCTCACAGAACATTTCCAATTTTGGCAAAAAATGACCCATTAACCACTCATGGAAAACCTGCCTCGTTATCCAGACTTTGTGATAGGATTTCCATTTTACAGGAAGCTGGGATTTTACAACGTTTTTCTGTGCTCATGGATTTTCACTTCTGTACATGAGCAATGGCTTAAACTTCTCGTCACCATTAGGATTGCTTCCTACAAGGAGAGTTAGCCAATCCTTTGAAGCTTTGAAGCCAGGTGCAGTCTTCTGAGTTTCCAGTACAGCCCGGTTTCATCAACATTAAACACCTGTCTAGGATCATATCCACCTTCTTTAATGATTTTTTTAAGTTTCTCCAGAAAAGTTTTTGCAGCATCTACATCACCACTGGCTGATTCTCCCTGAATTTTTACGTTCCTGAAACTATATTGTGCCAGGAATCTATAAAACCATCCACGAATAACCTTGAATAATTTTTTCTAGCTGCTTCTTCTCCCATCTCCTTTTTCAAGTCATCATACAAGCTTAGCACCTTCATCTGAATGTGGGCTAAGCTGACTGGCATGTTCTTATTGTGAAGGTCCTCAATCCATAACTTTTTCTACAATGATTGGAAGCATGCAGGCAGTCTAATTTTGAACAGAAATATGGCTCTGGACATCGAAATTGTCTGCTAATTTACTGCAGTTGTCAAAAGGAACTTGGCCAAATGGACTCGGCATTATTGAAACAGTTCAACAAAGTGCAATATTACTGGCAAAATATTCTAAAAAGAGTTGTTGCTGTTGTGAAATTCATGGCAACAAGAGGTTTGGCATTCTGCGGAAGTAATGAAACCATAGATTCACTGTACAATGGGAGGAAGTTTCAAATGGCACCCAATATCAAACACATGTTCACCATTTCTATTGTGCTTTATTACTTCCATTTTAACATCAAGTGTACCACTTTTGCACTTTTTCTTATGCTCATCACCTGTACTGTCACTAGCACTATTTGCTACTCATTATTGAAGGGTTGCAACAATACTTTGCCATAAACACACTGATTACGATGAGCACTCACACCAACCACACAACACGCAGGGATTGAGCAATCCCGTTCCTTCCCTGCCTTTATGTGACATAGCTCAGCAGGTGGGTGGTTACATTCAAAATTTCATTAAACTGGATTTTTTTATGTTATAGAAATTAATATAGCATAAAATCTTAGTTAATAATCTATATTTTAATAGTATATAAGTTTCAGTTCTTAATTCTATAAGGCAATATTTAAGAAAATCCTGAATTTTTCCTAGTGTGACACATTTTCTCTAGGCATCTCCTCTTCTCTATTTTATCCATTACCCCCTCAAAAAGTACAAAATTAAACGTAAATTACTCATTATAAAATCGTCATTGCTAAAACAAACCATAATTTTTATAGCTTTCAATTTTGTTTGGTTACAGAACTATCAAATGGAAAATGAGACCCCTCTTGCCATACCCACCTGTCATGTCCTCTTTTTCAGGATTCTTCAATAGTTCTCTCTTATGTTTAATTATATATTACCTATAACCAATAGAAAGCCAGGGTTTTCATCTATCAAATGAATT